GCTTCGAGTGGAATTATTATTATCATTATTAAACAAGCTATCAATTATTACTGAGCCAGCAACTTTCTAATTTCAGCTTGTCCCTATTTCTTGGGAAGGTCACAGCCAAATCAAGTGCCGCTATAAGGCGGACGTTTCTTCATTCCTAGTGGGACTGTCCCACTCCGCGTTTCGGGATCCCAGTACCCTCCGGGTAAGGGAACGGGCTGGGGTTCGGGTGGGAAATTGCGAGACCCACGCTGGGATGTGAAACGAGCAGCAGAAGGCATGTCAGACGACGGATTAGACCGGAAGAAAACAAAACCGCAGAAAGTGGGTCCATACAGTTCAGGGCTTTAAAAAGCGAATTGAAAAGCATTGCTCTGCACGTGGGTTGCGACTTCAAAAGTTCCTCAACACGCAGAAAGCCACAATTTCGGTCTTTGGGTATCGGCGCGGGGGAAATCGAATCGAGATCAGTATCCCGCTTCCAGAAAAAAAAAAAGCTACTACATCAACAGCCTCCACGTGCCCCTATCACGAGCTGGTCACATAGCCCTCTCAGCTGGACGTTTATTCCCGTTCTCTGACGACGGGCCAGCAACCTCCGGGACACCCCGAGGCCGTCTACTGCACGTCCTTTTAACAGGACAGGTCTTGACGGACCCCGTCTATCTGCGCACGCCGGCTTTTCCAGTGTCTACACAGCCCGGCCCGCGACACGCTGCAGGACCAAACCTCTCATTCACCCCCCAGTAACAGAACCCACTGAACCGGCTGGGGCAACAGTACTGGCGCTGAGGCGGGCTCTGCCCTTGACTCCTCGTGACACGGACAGCCAGCCCGGCCTCTCGCCATTCCTCTGTCCAGGCGCGACAAGTCCCCACCCCCGCCCTGGGGCTCGTTGCTGGAAGAAAAACGATTCACCCCGAGAGGCACGCTGGGTGTTGGGGTTCGGGGTTCGGGGTTCGGGGTTCGGGGTTCGGGGTTCGGGGTCCCCCCCCGAGTAGACAGCGCTCAGCTAGCAGCATCCTCCACACGCACAGAAAAACAAACAAACAAACAAACAAACATACAGACATACTGTATATACACACACACGCACTCACTCTTCACACGCGTGTGCGCGAACCCAGCGACAGAAAGCCCAGCCCGACGCCCTCTCGCGTCCCCCTTCCGTGGGTTCGCCGCGAGAACGCCAAGGGACGAGCCCTGGCCGGACCTCCATAAACGGTTGCTGAGCCCGGCGCGACCCCACTCCCACTCCCACTCCGACCCCCCTCCGAGCGAGTGGAACAGCGCAGCACGCACCACCCCGTCGTCACCTTAAAGGCAAAACCCACGGGCCATCCCTTTTCCCGGCGAGATTCGCCCCCCCCCCACCATCCGTCTCCCAGGGAAAATAAGCAAAGGTCACGCGGCGTCCTGGATTCCACGCACGCACCCACCTACCCACTCACCCGCCCGCGGTCTCCGCACCTGCTGCAGCGCGAGCCAGGGCCACGGCTGGTAAACCCCCCAAAACACCGGGAGATGACACACACACACACCTGCGCCCCGGGCTCCTCTGGAGCAAACGACAACAAGAAGAGAAGACAGCGCTGTCGCTTACCCACGACACCATTCGGAGGATGGTGTGCGGCTGTCGGAAAAACGTCTGAGGGTCGAAGGCACCTCCGGCTTTGCCGGCTCCGTATGCCATCCCGTCCATTTTTAAAGCGTTTAATTTTTGTAATTGATTTTTTTTTTTTTGGTGGGTCTCCCGGCCTGTCCTTTGAGTTCAATTGGCGTTCAATTAACGGGTGCCGTGCTGCGAGGAAGCCTTTTGTTTTTTGCACGCCCCAAAAAAAAGAAATCCACCGACCGCAGACGCTCAAGGAGGTTCACCTATCTCTCTCTCTCTCTCGCCCCCCTCTCTCTCTCCTTCAATCTCTCTCGTCTGTGTCTAGAGTCTGGCTTGACGGTGATAATGGTACATTCTCCCTCTCTCTCTCTCCCCCTACAATATTCAGCCTTGCTATGAAAGGGTGGAGAGAGAGAGGGAGAGGGAGAGGGAGAGGGAGGGGTGGTGGTGAGTCCCGTGGCGGCGCGTCCCCGACAGCTCCAGAGCGCGCCGCATCCTGTCAAGCCGCGGGGCGCGCGTGTTCTGGAGCTGTCGGGGACGCGCACTCCTTGGAGCCTCTGAGAGTCTTGAAACGCGGAGGTGAGAGAGGGATCTCTTAGCGGATTTGAGCAGTCGTCTGCTATACATTGATCTCCAGTTCCCCCCCGTTGTGTTAAAGGGATCAGGCGGCCGGCCGTGAATTCATCTGAAACGCTGTGAGTCCGGCAGCAGCGACCCCGGAGGACTGAGAGCGAAGGGGGAGATGCGATGACCCGGCCATTAACCGCAACGAGCGATACCGAATATATCATTTTAACACAAGCCATTATATTTTCATGGGTTAGAACACCCTCTAAAATAACAAATCTGTTCCCACTCCTTCCAGAATCCGTACAGCTTCCAGTCCCACTGAGGGAGAAATCTCGTCGGAGCTCACAGCCCAGTATGAATTCTCCCATCACAGCCTGAGCAACCCAGCCAGCCTCTCCAAAAAACGATAGGTTTTATGTGGTTAGTGCCTTAATAATGCTTTCATTACTAAATGTCTGTAAAAACCCGTGTTAATGACTTTGGTCTTGTTACTGCTCTGGGAAAGTAATTGTTATTACTTGGACGGCACTGTGATTCATCGCTCATGCCAGAGAAGCTCTTGGAATTTGGATGTGAATTTGAATTTTGAGAGTTGGGGGGGTGACTCTAGACAAAGCCCGCTTTGGCAGCCCAGAGTGGTACTGATCTACGACACTTCTCGAAATGAGTCTTGCATAAAACGTCCACATGATTAACTTCAATCCATGCACGTTTCTTGCAGGTAACAGCTTAAGTGTTGAAGGAGTCTTGGTCCAGGAGAAATAAAATCTACTATGTGTTACTTCTTTGGACCTGGGGGGTTATCAGTGTGGAGTTTGCATGTTCTCTCCACATTTGTGTGGGTGTCCTCTGGGGGCTCTGGTTTCTTCACACGGTCCGCAATCTTGCATGCTGGTTAACTGGTTAATTGTATCTATGTCTGTCTGCCCTGTGATGGACTGGCGTCCTGTCCAGGGTGTACCCTGCCTTGTGCCCATTGCTTGCTGGGATAGGCTCCAGCTCCCCCACCACCCTGAATTGGTGGAATTTGTACGAAAAGGCACGGATGGGTGGGGTTATCACTGTCACGCTTGTAAACCCCTCCTCTTAAGGACGCTCCAGCCCTTCCTTGTTTTTTACTCATCTCCCGGACCTGCTCCCGGTTCCAGCCCACCTTATAAGCCAGCCGCTCACTCTGTTCTGGGCTCTGCATTGGTTCCCGTACCAGGCGAGTCCGGGATCTGGAGCGCCTGGTCCCACTCCCCCCTTGTTGCCCCCGACCCTCCACCGGATCCCGTTCCCGTTTTTAATCCTGTTTGTCTTTGTCCCGGATGGACCGCCCGGCTTTGCCTCGAGACATTTGCCTCGCCTTGGACTTCCCTTTGGACTCTGCTTGGGATTGTTTGCCCCGGTCTCACCCCCCAGAACACCTGCGCACCATTAAGGCCCCGTTTTAATTCCTGAACCCTGCATGCCCCTTTTCCCCATGTTTTCTTCACTCTTCCCCGGATTGTGTCGTCTGCATAGGGTCCTGAAAGAACGTTCCGTTACAGTTACTTCTCTTTGCTGGGATGACAAGGTGCCGACTGTGTTTCAGTGCAGCTCAGAAGCAAACGTCTGTGTCAAATGTTTTACAACGTCTGATCTTCGGGTTTTTTTTTTTAAAGTATTACCGAACTGCAACACGAGAGTCGGATTGCTCTCTCAATCTGATCGGTTCTCAGCCAGATTGATCGGCAGGTATCTTGAAAGAAGACAGTGTATCAGCTTCAGTGGATCAGCAGTGTATGAGGGTATCCGCTTCTTCCAGAAGCAAGATGCGAATCGTACCCAAACAGATACATTCGGGAAGATATTGTGACCACACACTTCTATACACAATATGGGAGAGGTTTACCTTCCAATCCATGATCTTCCTGGTCTTCAGATTATAAATGTCCATATTCAGCAAACCTTCTCCCTTCCTTAAGCAGCATAGTGCACTGAAGAGTTTCAACCCTGAGTCTTCAGAACATAAGAAAAGATGCACACAACAGGACACCACTGGGCCCATCCTACAGTACTTGCCTGGTAACATTGAAGGCGATAGAATCACAAAATCTCACCCAGACCCTTCTCGAATGAGCCCAGAGCCCAGGTAACACCAACCCCAACTACCTAGCTGAGAAACCTGCTCAAAACACCCACTAGTCTTTGTGTAAAGACTTCTTTCCTAATTTCAGACACAAATAGTTTTAGCTTCTCATTGCAGTACTGTGTTTTTTTCTACTATTAAGTACTATTAAGCATGAACTAGGCTCCTGCCTATTACATTATTTATTCTCTGCATTCAGATAGAATAACTAATAACTAGTGGAAGTTTCTGGTTTGGGATTTGGAAGTGGAAAGGGTCTGGATGTGGGGTCAGATCCCAAGTGAGATGCCTTGTGGGAGTTTCTGCACCTGAATTGCACCAGTAAAACACCTAGCTGATATGAATGGATGCAAATACAAATTTCCTTGGATAAAACGTGTCAGCAGAATAAATTAGAAAACAAATATATAACTCAGCAGCTCTCCTGCTCTCCTGCCTATATCCTTTGTTTCGACTGAAGATACCAGGATTCGTTTTTGTTTTAGTTCTTTGAATTCTAAGACTGTAATCTTTTTTGTGTGTGTCGTTTGTTGAAGAGATTGCTTTAATTATTCTGACTTTTACTGCTATTAACGGTGCGTCTAACAGCCACGTTCGTAAGCGCAAAAACAATAAAAAACATACGTAGCGATTTTGCTTGTTGAGCGAGTCTGTAATAGTGTTTAGAGGTAATTAATTTCACCACTGGCACTTGCTGCGTGATCTGCAACACCGCAGTACAAAAGAACTAACAGCGACATCTTGTGGTCATCCTCTTTCAGTGCAAGACAGGGCCCAGGCGTCCCTGCGCCTCTTCCTTACGTCACCAGCGGTCATACGCAGGGGGCGGGGCGCGGTGACGTTTATATAAAAGCGACAGCCGCCTGTCCCCTCCCTCTCTTCAGCCGGATTCGGTGACAAGATGGTGAGTGTGAGACAGCCGGCTGCAAGCACTTTATTCCAATCCCGCAATTATCTCGGCCATCCTTTGATCGAATGATGTAGGGTGGCTCAGACCTTGTTAATAAATATCTAAATCATACTTTTTGCGTTGCATTGAGTTGTTCTGAAAAGCAATTTGGACTTTTAAGTCATTGAACTAAGTGAGCCTCTATGTCGAACATGGAGGGCTTCAGACTCGTTCTGATCTGTCTAGCAAAACGTGTACGGACTGCAGGAAGACTGTCACCTTTACGATGACATGTAGGTTCAGGCTTTTTATCTGGGGGAATTCGTGTTTTGGGTGTCTTGTTTGACTTTGCGTGTTAAATCGGGTGTCGTATCGGGAAGAAGTGGCGCATTGACAATATGGATCGTTGCGGTCATGTTCTTTTCGAGTCCTTACTAAAACTATGCCGGGAGCACCCAGGCTGAAACCGATTCATTCTTGACGGTGCTGGAGGTGGCGCAGTGTAAGTTTGCCCAGACACGTGTGCGCTAGGCCCTTGCTGGTGTCCTGGTCTGCGAGATCCAGGAGGATTCGTATAATCCAGCTAAAAGGGGGATACAGAAGGAATTGCCACCCAGGGAGTTCCTGTTGTACAGGAGTTCTTGGGTTTCGTGGGAACATGTCCGCACACGTCTTCCCCAGTTCTGCGAGTGCATCAGTCCTTAAGGGGAAAGTTGCGTTGGGAATTCGCAGCTAAAACCCTCCCTGGATCTTTTTGAACAGTGTCGCTATTAGAGAAATGAACGAGTTTGTTTTTTTTCGCGATTGTGCAGCAAATCCTGAACAATCGGAAGAAATCCGCTGATTTAAAACAAAACTGCCATGTGGGGCTTGCGATTCCGGTTCGGGAAGTGACGTAAGGCTGACATGCGCAGTCCCCTCTTTCCGGTGAGCGCTGTTGGTCTGGAGGGGTGTTGATTTTTAAAAAAAAAAACGGGCTTGCGAGATCGGTGAGCTGGTGCTCGGAGACAGTCGGGCTATCCCCTGTTTGGAAATGGTAACTTGCCGCCTTTGTGGTCGTGTTTGATCCCCGGTCCCCCCGCGTTCAGGCGCCGATGTCGCCAAGGCCGCCCCTCAGCCTCGGGACTCGAGTGTGTCCGTCCTGCCCGTGATGAGCCTCTCGACGGGCGGACAGAGCGGGCTGCCCTGGAGCGGCCCCTGCTGAATGTCGAGTTCTGACTGCAGACGGAAGTAAAATGAATGAGTCCCCGAGGTTGAACGAAGATCTCGCCAGTTGAGTAGCGACCCCCTCTAATTGAGGCAGAAAGACACTTGCCTAAAGTTGAAGGCGGATGCCATAGCCGCCATCGGACTGGATATACAGGCCGTTGAGCTGCTTGATTTGCCGAAATTAAGCTTCTGCCCTGTGACGTCGAAGAGTACGCGAATTAAAATAAAACTGGGATCCATTTCTACAGCCCCCCGCTTAATACCCTACTTAGGCGTAGAATTGCCCTCGTTTGTACAGTGTTGCCTTGTGCTTACAAGGGGCTCAGTCAAGTGGGAAGCGAGAGAAAGTGTTTGCAGACCCTTTGAATTTCAAGGCGTGGAATGAAGTGACACCCATCTACAAGCCAGCAGGCACCTCGATATGTAGATTTCAGGGTGTCGCGTGGATCGTAGGGGGGTGAATATAAATCAAGAGTGAATTAACCTTTTTTTTATTTTAAAACGTGTGGGTACGATTGAGTAACGTGTAAGTGTGAAATGTTGCTTTGATTTGGGCTGCAGCGGGGTCAAGTTCTAGTTGACTTTGTTGACGGGGGGGTGGGGGTGAAGAATTGACTCTTGAACCTGCAGCGGTCTAGCCCAGATGCAGTTTCCCAGAGGGTTGCTTGTAATTTTCTCCTCACTTTTTTTTTTCCCTCCTCCACCCCCAGTCCCACCGTAAGTTCTCGGCCCCCCGGCACGGCTCCCTGGGCTTCCTGCCGCGCAAGCGGAGCAGGCGGCACCGCGGCAAGGTCAAGAGCTTCCCCAAAGACGACCCCAGCAAGCCTGTGCACCTCACCGCCTTCCTGGGCTACAAGTCCGGCATGACCCACATCGTGAGGGAGGTGGACCGGCCCGGCTCCAGTGAGTTATCACACCCACACTGCCGCGCTTTTTCATCCCTCTACGCAAAGGGTTGCGGGAGCGTGGAACGGGCTCCAGCTGGGTCGCTCTTACCAGTCATGGCCTCCTAATAATCCCCCCCTCTCTGAACTGGCTTCACCCCTCCGCTCTCCTCCCCACTGAGAGTTGGTGTGCGGGGAGAGGACTGGAGTAGCATCGGAGAGGGCTGCACACTGGTGGTGGAGGGGAAGTCCCCATTATCCGTCGGAGCCCTTTCAGTGGAGTGTCCAGGAAGTGTGAGGAATTGTTATAGTGCTGTGGAAGCGTGCACATTATTATTACACCTGGAAACAGTGGATTATATCAAGGGGGAGGAGGGCAATGCTGTAGATCTGAGATCTTTTTACGGCTTTCATTAGTAGAAAGGCCTAGCCTCTTGATCCTGCGTGTGGCAGTCAGGACAGGGCCTGGGCGAACGATGGTGGGGGGTGGCGCTGCCAGTGATGATACCCACGACGGGCGGACAGACTGGGCTCGCCGTGTGCAGCCCCTGCTGAGTGTCGAGATCTGAGTGGCCGCAGTGACCCCCCCGCCCCCCAAACTTCAGACACAAACAGCACTGCAGTTAAGTGTAGCAGCTGTAACAGGCTGTGAATGTCTTGCTGGAACTGGGTGCTGGTCTCTCATAGCCCAACCTTTGTCTTTGGGGAGGGGGGAGTATAAAGTAGAAAAGCACCCTGAAAGTAATAGGGTGGATGGAGGGCTGGTGAGTTACACATGAGTCATGAGAGGTGTGGAGCACCGGAGAACACTTGCAGGTGTAGAGCCGGTGCTGCCAGTAGCTCTTAGCTGGCGGCCACCTTCTCCGGGTGGATTATAATCGGGACAGGTAGCCAGACGGACTTCGCCGAGCGCAACAAGGTGGCCCTTGCGGCGGCAACCCGGCTCGGGCGATCCTCTTCCCCTCGACGTCCCGATCAAGCTGAGGGCATGTGGTTTTCTGTCTCCCCTCCCTTCCTCCAGAGGTGAACAAGAAGGAGGTGGTCGAGGCGGTGACCATCGTGGAGACGCCCCCGATGATGGTGGTGGGCGTGCTGGGCTACGTGCAGACGCCCCGCGGCCTGCGCTCCTTCAAGACCGTGTTCGCCGAGCACATCAGCGACGAGTGCAAGCGGCGCTTCTACAAGAACTGGTGAGTGTTCTCGAGAGGCTCGGGGGGCCCCGGCGCCCCGCGGCTGGTCTTGCCCCAGCTGTCTCTCCGCTCTGTCGAAAAGCGCTCCCGGCCGCTGTTGGGCGCGGGCCGGTTCTTGTTGCCGTCGGCTCTTAAAGACTTTCGGCACGCTGCTTTTTTGGAATTTGAATGGAAAATTCAGTGTCAGGGTGTTGATGTGTTAGGAGTATAAAGAGAGGTGAAGCCTATGTCATGAGTCTATGCAGAGAATATCCATGACAAGCTTAGTGTTTTCTTCTTTTGTCTTTAGAATAGTGGCTTACAGGCTTGTATAACTGCCTTGAGTCATATTGTGAGCCAAGATATGACAGATCCTTATCAAAGGTTGGAAAGGCTCTTTGTGTTTACTGTATCTTCTCCAAGTACAGTAGTACCCAGGTTTCTGTCGATTTATATATATTGGTGCTTTACGCGAAGGTTTTTTTTTTGTTGCCCATTGTTTTCAAATATGTAGTTTCGACCATCAAGTGGTAAAGTAGCATTTGGTGCACACGACAAATGCGTGGAACTACTTTTAAAAAATACAACTTTGTACTTTGTACATTCTGTTGAATGACAGTGTTACCATGCTGTATGCAGAAACGTGCAATGAACAGGGAATGTAAGATCCAGCATAAAAAAACCTAAATGTTTATAGCCTGGTGCCAGTAATATGGCATGAAATATTGTGTGAGAAGCATTAATTTTCACTAACTTCAGTTTTGTGCTCTGTTGCTGTAAGCGATGGAAGAGAATGTACCCGAATATTGCCATGGGTATATATAAAGAAGTCTATTTCTGTATATTTATATTTCTAAGCCTATTCTCCCTTCTTAATAGTTCACATGTGCTAATTTCCTATGTGGTGCACTTGAATGTAGACCTTGGTACGGCTGTACTTGCCTGTCTCTGTGCTGGCCAGCTGAAGCCGCGGCCGGCCTGTGTGAACCCTGACTAACTCTGTGGTGCCCTCCCTTCGGCAGCTCCGCTCGGGCGCCTTCGGCCCCGATGAGCTCCGGGCTCCTCTGGCCGGCGGAAAGGGCTCCTTAGAAGCCGTGCCAAGAGCCGAAACCCTGCCCGCCGCGCGCCGCGCCCTTCCGCTGGCCTGCCTCTGGGGGGGCAGTGCCATGAAGGGGCCGTGCCAATCCGCTGTACCTCTCTCTCTCTGCCCCTCCCCTCTCCCCGCCCCGCACGCCGCCACACCTTCCACCCGTGTGTGCGTGTGTGCGTGCGCGCTTGGTTTGGGCTCCCTCCTGCAGGTACAAGTCCAAGAAGAAGGCCTTCACCAAGTACTGCAAGAAGTGGCAGGACGAAGAGGGCAAGAAACAGCTGGAGAAGGACTTTGCCGCCATGAAGAAGTACTGCCAGGTCATCCGCATCATCGCTCACACCCAGGTCAGTGTCTTCCCCCCCCACTCTCGCGGCTGTCCCTCTGTTTAAGCCCTCCATACAGTGCATGCTGGGAATTTCTTGCCAAGTGCCAAGACCCTTTTAAACTGCGTTGGCTCCACGCACAGCGAGGTGAAGAGATTTGAAGGGGGTCTTTGCTCTGGGCTGCTTGTGGTACAGGCGGTTTGGACTGAGATGGGTATTAGATTGGTATTGGGAGCTCCTCGGTTCAGGATAGCAAGCTTGCAGGGCAGGCTGGGAGCAGTATGGGGGGTGTGATGGGTCTATCCGTCACTGGGCTGCCACTGGTGTGGCATGGGACAAGCAGGGGGGGGTGCGTCTGTGATGAGCCCACGGAACACCGCGCCAGGCATGGCGCCCGAAACGCATGAGGAGACTTTCCATGCTGCCTTCCTTCTGAGGACGCACCCCGGCGCTGTAGGGGGGGGGGTGGGGGGGTACCTGGTTAAAAGCGGGTGTGCACTGGTCACAACTGTGTAGGATTTCGCAGGGAACCCTGAAAACATCCTCCACAAAGGTGGAGCTTGGCTTGTGGTACAAATTCATGTCGGCCCTGCAGTCTTTCAAGTCTGCGACGGACTCTTCCAGGGCTACTTCAGCGGCTTAACTAGCGAGCGCCGGTGCCTCTTGATACAGGTGTAATTGGAGACGGTGAGCTTGCTATACGCCTCCTCACGAGCTCTCTCTTTGTCCACCTCAGATGCGCCTGCTGCCCCTGCGGCAGAAGAAGTCCCACCTGATGGAGATCCAGCTGAACGGGGGCACGGTGGCCGACAAGGTTGACTGGGCGCGCGAGAAGCTGGAGCAGGCTGTGCCCATCTCCACCGTCTTCACCCAGGACGAGATGATCGATGTCATCGGGGTCACCAAGGGCAAGGGCTACAAGGGTACGTTGTCCTCACCACCACCCCTCGTTCCCACGGCACTGTTGACTGCAGGCCCTGTAGAAATCGGAGACTGTTAACCCTAGACAGCAGCCAGGCTCATAATGAAGGGGCAGTAGGGGGCGCTCACCCTGAGGTTTGTGTGGCTTCCAATGCCCTGCTTTAGTGGTGGTCCCGACTCCATGATCATTAAAAATGCCCGGACATTTATTGACAACAGTAGGGGTGGTTATTCTGGTGTCTGCTCTTTACTTATCATGACCTCCTAATAGTCCCTATCTATCAGTTGGCTTGTTGACTCTCTTCCCCACGGAGGGCTGATGTGTGGCGAGCGTACTGGCGCACACTGGGTGCCGTCAGATCTTACAGGTGGGGCTGCACCTTGCCTGTAAAAGCTCTCCGAGTGGAGTGTCCAGAAAAGTGTGGTATAAATGTAAGGATTATAGTAAGACAGTTCGTTAGTGGTGAGCTCTTGTGAGTAGTTCCAGAGCTTCAACAGAACTGGTTTTGTACTCTTAACAGCAATCTTGCTGGGTTAATGTGAAGGGCTTGCTTCTTTCTAAGTTAATGGACATTTGTGGTATGGTTTTAATCTCCCTTGCTTAAGAACTCTGTGCTGGCCGCCATCATTGTTAGGGGCCCTGGCTTAATGATGTCGGTCTGTGGTCTAATTCCCCATCACTGATTTGGTACAGATGGATTAATTGTCTGGGTGGGGGTGTGTCTGTGATGAGCCCACGGAACACTGCGCCAGGCGTGGCGCCCGAAAAGCATGAGGAGACTTTCCATGCTGCCTTCCTTCTGAGATTACACCCCCATCCCTGCCACCCCCCTCGCTTGTTGGTACAGACCTGAGGGGCCCAGCGTCGGTCGGTCCCCCAGAGCCTTCTGTGTGCCTCGGGGTTAAGGAGCATCTTGGATCTAGACAAGTCTCCAGAGTCGGACCTTCCGGGCCGCAGTGGAGCAGTTCATTAGCCGTCTCCAATCAGATCCTTGTGTGCTTTCGGCTTGGGAAAAGTAAATTATAAAGCTGATCAGCTAAGGTTGAACGGAAGAACCAGATATCCCTGTTGCCCGGCAGAATCGAATTTGAAGACGGCTTTAGGCTGGATTAGATTGTCTAGTAGATGAACCAACTCTAGCAGTCAACAAAACGGGCTGCTCTCTTTGCAACCCGAAGACACATTGCAGGTTGTTTTTATGTAGATGTAATTGCACATGCGAGTTCTCCGGTTGGTAGTTGCTAGAGCCTGACCTGCCTGAACTTGTGGAGTTGATTTTGAAGTGGGGGGGAGGGGTGCCGGGTTTGGCCAGCTGTGACTTTCCTGGCAGTGCCACTCACCTTGATTTGTCCCCCTCCCTCCCTCGCAGGCGTCACCAGCCGTTGGCACACCAAGAAGCTGCCGCGCAAGACCCACAGAGGCCTGCGGAAGGTGGCCTGCATCGGCGCCTGGCACCCGGCCCGCGTGGCCTTCTCCGTGGCACGAGCTGGGCAGAAGGGCTACCACCACCGCACCGAGATCAACAAGAAGGTGAGCAGGGCGGGGGGCGCCGTGATCCGTGTCCTCATTCCAGCAGCCTCCGCGGGGGGGGGGTGGTCCAGGTCTGGAACCCGGGGGGGCCTGTGGTCCGGAACTCACTGGGGCGTCCGGTTTCCCGTTCTCCGAAGATCAGGAGGCGGTTGGAGAGGTGGTGGGACTGCAGACCTGTAGAAAATCTGCAGATTGATTTGCCACAAGGATATGAAGCTTTGGGGTTTTCAGAGCTGGGGGCTGCTCCTTAAATGTTGGTCAGGAGGAGAGAAAAAAAGTCCTTTAATTAAAATGGATTGTCATCTCTCTAGGTCTACAAGATTGGCCAGGGCTACTACAGCAAGGACGGGAAGCTGGTGAAGAACAATGCCTCCACGGAGTATGACCTCTCCAACAAGAGCATCAATCCCCTGGTAAGAGAACTAAAACCAAGCGTGCTTGCTGTGCCGGGTTTGGCATGGGAGCCCTCGTTTCTGGCGTTTCTAGCAATAGGTCTGGTGTTTTAGGAAGCATAATTCAATCTGGGTTTTCACTGTCGTAATGAGGGTGGCATGGTTATGGCGCGATGCTGGATCGTCGGAAGCAAGGGTCTCTCCCTTGCTTTGGAGACCTCCTGCTTTATCTTATATGCCGCAGTAACTCACAGACGTGAAAATAAAGTAATGGCAGTTTATAGATCAGTAAAGATTGTGGTTTCTTTCCAGGGGTGAAGGGCGTTCTGACTTCTAGTTTCAGATCTCTGAATTGCCTGATTTAATGACTCGTCTCTCTTGAATTGATCACGGTTAAATTCTCAGGCCTCTAGGTAGTAAAGCTTGAACGATTTCCTATAAAATGCGCCGAGTTGGAAACCCCTTGCCCGAAGCGGCAAGGGAGACTGAGTTCCGAAGGGCTGGAGGGATTGGGCACTCATTCGGGGCCTCTCTCCCTCTGCTCGCAGGGTGGCTTCGTGCACTACGGCGAGGTGACCAACGACTTCATCATGCTGAAGGGCTGTGTGGTTGGGACCAAGAAGAGGGTGCTGACTCTCCGCAAGGTAATGATCTGAAATGACCTGCATTACAGATGGGTGTTGATTGCTTTCTGAATGGTGTTTGGGCATGAAGAAAACTCCCGGTTTCATTTGGTATGAAGGAAAAATAAGACCATTTAAATTTTATGTTCGACGGTCAGGTTGTCCCGTTTGTCCTTGGGATTTTAAACCGGAGGATTCAGTGTAAACAGCATGTGGTCTGAATTCGGATCTGAGGGAATTCACGGCCAGACAGCCGACACTGCATGGGCTTAGGCACACAACAGTAGTGCTCATGTGGGGGGAAGGGGTTGAATTGTACCAACCTGGGCGCAGGAAGCAGGTGTTACCTGTTCCAGGTGTTTTGGCCAGTAATGTCGTTCCTGCAGTTGCAGCTCCTCCACTGTGGTGACCCACCCCTTTCTTTCTCTCTCTCTCTCTCTCCCTCCCTCCCTCCACCCCAGTCCCTGCTGGTGCAGACCAGCCGGCGCGCGCTGGAGAAGATCGACCTCAAGTTCATCGACACGACCTCCAAGTTCGGGCACGGCCGCTTCCAGACCGTTGAGGAGAAGAAGGCGTTCATGGTGGGTGTCCCGAGAGGGGCCAGGCTCCACCTGGAGGGGTCACTGTTGGCTCGAGAATGCGTTTTACATATAGTGGGGCTCTTCAAAAGTCATTCTTGGACCGCAGCGCCATGCAATTCAATATGTGCAGCCCAGCTAATAAACGGTAACCTAACGCAATGCGCGGGCAATGCACGGAATCAAATCCGAATTGATGGACAGGATAAAATGAGGCAAGATCAACAGCTTTCTTGTACAGACGTTTTTACTCTTGCCTTCATTGCTGCCGAAGAGTGGGCAGCCTTGGTGTCACGGGGCAGATGATTCTGGAGACAGGGAGCCACAGAACAAAAAGCGCAGGGTCCCATAGAAGACGACTTATTCCCTGGAGCACAGTTTGAATTGGGATGTAGATCTGGGATTCCTGGAGGAGGTCTGGAGCTAAGCTTTAAGATGGGAAGGGATGTGGATAACTCATCCAGTTTATTTATTCAGTTCTGGTGCGACAAATGTCCAAGATGCAATTAAAAGCTACAAGAGCTTGCTCGGTACGTCCCATTTTTTTTAGTAGTTCATTCAGACCTCATTCATGTGGTAGTAACATCTCGAACAAGGCCCCTGAAACTGTTCTTGCCATCTCCTGCTATAGCAAGAATTACTGTACACCCAGCTTGAAGGGATTGTACAGTTGTACAGCTGATCTTGTAGTTATGAACTGGGTTGGCTTTAGAGTCCCTGGAACGCTGTGCTTATTTCCCATTTTGGAAACGGGAAACCTGATTAATTCTGTCCTGGGGCGGTCCCTCTTACTAACTGGCTCTGGCTAGGCACAGATAACACATTGCTTGTTTAGGAGCTTCCTCAGGGGAGGCATTGGCCTTTAATAATTTGCGGTCTTCTCAAGATAGATGGTGACTCAGAGGCTGACTCACAGTCTACTGGGGGCTATAATTATCAGTGACGTGGGCTGGGGGGGGGAGGAGGTGTCGATATACAGGGCTGCTTAGTGCTGGGTTAGTAGTTGGTCCTGCTGTCTCGCACCCTGATCAAGGAGAGTATAGTTGAATCGCACAGTAAGGTGGTGGCCCTTAACCATTACTGCAGTCTGCACCCTGGTGGTTCCGAAGTGTTCTTGCATCCATTCATCAAACGTTTTTGAAGTAGGCCAGTTATTCCAACCTATGATGTATCAGAACTGTAGAGTCAAGGAGATAGGATTATGTATTTCTAAGATCTGTAAAGTTAAAAACGCATGAAAAAAGTACACATTTTCCTTAATACAAAGGTCTGATGAAACAAGGTTGTGTTCAACGAGCCCATGAAAGATCTGTATTTTTCATGATTTACCTTTTAAAAAAAAATTAGGCTAGAACGCCTCTGTGTTAAGGTTTATTAATTGTCCCCAGATAGAACAGCTGTGAGCAGTTTGTGATCCTTTCTGTCCAGCTTGCCAGGCACTTTAGGGGCGTTGTCTCTTGTGCTGTGGAGTACTGCAGTCAGGAAACTGCACATCTGACACCAGAAACCAGTACAGTACGGGTCTGCGAACGGCTCACTAGGGCTGTGCTTCTTGTCGGACGTTGTGCAGCTTGGATTAGGCTCGGCTGTTGCCGTGTCCGTGCACTGTTCGTAACCTGTGATCAGTTTGCAGTCTGACATCGGGTTCCATTCCAGTGCTACAGCGACCCTGGCAATGCAGTGGGCTGCGTTGTGTGAGCAGCCCCTCTGTTCTTTTGCCAGGAACAAGCTCTCGATCGTCTGTACTAGTAATTGGGTTTGGGTAGGAACTTCTGGGAGACGGCCTCTTTTCCCTGCTCGTGCAGAGTTTTATCCTCTTATCTGGGTTTATCCCAGAGGAAAATGGGAATTGGGGGATGCTCCTTCCTTACACTCTGCCTGTGGGCAGTGATCACTCTTATTTGCAGTTGATCACTTGTACTTGTTTAGCGCCCTGTGTTTTCACTGAGCCACACCCCTCACAGGATACAGGACAGCGGCCTGAGATCTGTGCAGACCACTTCCAGTTCGTTGTAAGAAATCCAGGCTAAGCCCTTAAAGAGTTACATATTTAGAAACCTGTGTGTGTTTTATTAGCAATATCCTCTCGGTGTCTCCCTGTCATTTTCAGATGTTATATTGATCTGGGGGTGTGGGAGAGGACGGTTATCTGATGGGCTGTCAATAGAGGAATGTGATTTGTATGATCAGCGCATGGATTTGAAACTGCAGGCGATACCTCAGTGTAAAAGGCTAACGACGAGCACGGCTTGGTGTCTGTTGTGACTAATCTCCTTGATTTTTTTTTCCCCTCACAGGGACCACTCAAAAAGGACCGGATTGCCAAAGAGGAGACTGCCTGAAGCCTGCCTCTCTCTGCTCTGTCTCTGGTGTACTGAGTCTTCATGCATTGCTACAGAGTTTAATAAAAACTGTAAAAAAAAAAACCCAACTAATATTGGCTCGAGTTTTTCAGTTGACCAGGGACCACTGCAACACAAGGGGCTTATGTAGAAGTGGTCTGTGACCTTCTGTTGGCTTCTTGATGTGGTATTCTATGTTTATTGTTGAAGGACTGGGTTTTTGTAAATGGCCGTGCTTTGTGTTAAGTGCCTCCTGTTCCAGTCCAGACTTTGATCTCTTAGGATGTAAAAAGGTTATTTCCTTTGTTTCATTCAACACCCTACTTAGAGCGATCATTATTCTGTCACAGTCTTTTGGACATGAGATCTTTCTGTAAAGAAAAACGGAACATTTTGAATGGCCCACACATGGTGTACTGTATTGTGTATTTTTTACGTCAACGCTTACAAGACGACTGAACTTGCGTACCTAGTTCTACGCGTTATTAACTATACAATGAAACCTGAGCTTGTGAAGGCACTTCGTCGTAGCCGTAATTCAACATTAAGAGCTTGAACCGGAGGTTCATCACCATTCAAGTTCACGGGTTCTTAAACGAATTACTGCCCAGATAAATCGGTAGGCCAGCTTTCTGAGATCCGGCCGTGTGACTGATGGTAATGGCCGAATTTGAGCAGGCGCTTCTTGGAATCGGGCCGGTCTTCATGTGGCCTCGCCGGACTCCGACTCTGAGTCATCCTGCAGTACTGGACCAGTACCGTGGGTCGAGGGTGTGAGGTAGCGAGCGATGCCGGACTGTCAAGATTTAGGATTCATTTATGAAGTCACAACGTACCAATTGACGTACGTGCTGGGTTGCACACTATTTTCGTCCTGGATATTTCCTATTTTGCCCCGTCAGTTTGAAGTGAGAACGTATAAAAAAAATTCTGAATGTCTTTCCTACATGATAAAGTGTATGTGGTCTATTTTGAAGCGCATTGCATTTTCATTACAATATTCCTGGAAAGCAGTAACACCAGTTAAATACGTATATCGTTGAGTGGCCGGGTACATTGCTACGCATTAAATATCCCTTGGAGAGGAAATCGTATTTCATTTAAATGACGACGTCATTGGTTCCCAAAATATAAAAGGTGAGGGTGGTCATCTACCAGTGACTGTAAAGGACACAGTGAGTGACAGTCTAATAGATCAATAATAGGTTGCGGTAGGCGTGACCAAGGCTCTTAACCAATCAAACTGAACACAAGAACAACGCTACTCGTCACACTATAGGTCGCGGTCGAAGGCGGGATTAATGTAGCAGGCCAATAAAATTCTGGATTTAAGAAGGGATGGACCAATGAGGCGTGCTCATTTAGGTTGCCAAGAGACCGTGCTTGTGCTTGGCTTCCGGGTCCGCAAACGGAGATTCGGTTTTTGAAACAAGAGACATTTAACGTGTATGCGGGAAAAGCGATTGCTCTTCTCAAACCAACTCCCCAATCAACACGTTCGCTTTCTTTTTTACTTGTTTAAAAAGTTCAGGTCTTGCGCGACCGCGCCGTTCATCAATGGTGAAGTTAAGAGCCAAGTGTATTCTCGTAGGTAAGAAACACAAAATTACTCGAGGACAAGGGTGTTAAATAGTAATGACTCGATCGCTGCTTACATGTGTGGTGGTGGCTAATTTTAAATTGGATATTTGGAATTAGTGGCCCCCCAAAAAAGCAGACAATAATAACCCGTTATAAAACGCAGTTTCCATAACCCTGGTACCATTATAAAGGTACGTAAAAAACGATTCAACACTTACTGCACGCAGCCACGCACTGGAGAGCCCCCGTGTCTCATTGAGGACGGAAAAGAGGGGGCCGCTTTTCAGGACTGGTGATTGCCTCTTCGCCTCCGTGTGGCTGTGTGTGTCTGCAGCGGCGGCTGACTGTCTTGTCTGTCTGCAGGAGATGCGGCCGTGGGGAAAAGCGCGCTTTCCCAGATGTTCCGCAGTGACGGATCCCACTTCCAGAAGAACTACAGCATGGTGAGAGCAGGCATCCTCCGGGATTATCCCAGATATGATAAATTAGACACAGGACAAGATGCAGGCTACTGCGTTTAAGGCGCCGGGTGGACGTTGTCGGCTTGTTGATACATACGGATTTCCTTGCACTTGTGCGTGGGACAGATCGACTGAACTCCGAACTGTAATGTGATGTATTGCTTCACCTCACGCTTAAACTTGATAGTGCTGCCTGCTATGCACACGAGTTTCTCAGCTTGTGCAAGAGTCTACAGCCTGCAGAACCTAGTACCCTTCACACTGCAGTGCAATCTTATTTCCCGCTCTGTTGGAGATCTGGAACGGAAAGTTAATGTTTTTCGTGCCCGTGTGTCGCGCACAACGTTTTGGATGATTGGAAAAATTAAGGTTGTGTTCTGCGATGTTTTGGCCATGAAGGAAGCAATGTAAATAGTGTGGAATCAGGCATTTCAGTGCATGATGTCATGATGATGTCAGACTAGAATGCACAGTGTAGTGGGCCTCTCACAGATCATGTATAAGACAGTTTTTGCTGGAGGTGAAGTAGGAGTGTGGTCTGGTCCTGATGTAGGTCAGTATTGCTGGCATGTGGGTGACTGATCCAGGATGCAGGCACCCCAGATTTTGGGATAAGCTTCTGAAGCAACAGACATTAGTAGTAATTGTCACGGGTGGTGACCCCCTAAGTGCAGGAACTCTTTTGCTTTGTAGTCGACTACGCCACCTGGCAATTATAGAGGGTACTCGAACCTCTTTTCCTTGCCTCGGCTTCTGTTCATCTCCCAGGATCACCAGTGCACGCACAGACACTTGTCTAGCTAACAGGTCCCTTTTTGTTCACCAGGGTTTAAAAACATTTGACACTCTCTATCAACACCCAGAGTACGTTAGAAAAAAACACAACTCAAAAGACACACATTCCAGACTGGCCACAAGCACCCCATTGGACCTTAACAAATGCACCAGAATTTAGTGCAATTTAACATCCTTAGCGCCCTTGACACCTGGTGCCCAAACACCCGCCTTTTTCCCACTGACCTAATATCAACCCCACTAAAACACCGAATGTGTGTCCTGTGTTGTGCGCAGACTGCAGGAGTGGAGGTGCTGACGAGGACAGTGCACATCCCGGACACCAGCGACGGCGTGGTGAGTGCAGCACACTGCCCTCTGGTGGCCCCCACCGGAACACCCAGCCCAAACTAGCCGCTCGCAGATCTCTCCCCTCTCCAGGCGGGAACGACCGAGCCGGGTGCACAGCACTCGGGTCAAACCTGAGATGGTTCGTTTTTTTTACGAGGAGAGTGTAACGTTTCTCCCGTTGTAGCCGTCAGTTTGAAGATTTCACGTGATCGGCCTGAAGCCCTTCTCATCCGTTTGTTAGCTGTTTCTTAAATAACAAGTAAGAGGTTTATTCCATGCTGAAAAGAGCAGAAAGAAAGCAAAAAAGTTTTGGCTGTGGAGCCTGACACCAGAAGAAGGCTCCACAGCCGAAACGTTATGTTTTCTTTCTTCACTTTTCAGCATGGAATAAAGCTACTACTTGTACCTTTGCAGCCTACGCATGCTGATGCAGCTACCCACCTGAGCTATTTCTTAAATTATGTCAGTACACTGCATAAGGTAGCAGTTGCATTTTGATTCTAGTCAGCCTGACTTACGAGATTCTTCATCAGCCTTGATTATCGAATATCTTCCCATTTCATAATGGGCGGTGGGTGTCCATTTTCTGCTCGCAGTCTGCTTACCGTTCACCGTTGACACTTGTTATTGTATGGCTCTGATATCCAGCTGGGCCTGGTTTCATACTCCACCTGCTGTTCGGTCCAGTGCGCTGCGCCGCTGCAGCGAGCCGGAGCTCCAGAAGGCATTTGCATTCACATCAGGGCTTCAGCAAACGCTGGTGACAAAGGGAGCAGCTGCACCGTTCTTTGTGTCCAAATTGTACTGCTCCAGGGGTGTTCGTTTGTAGAGCCCTGTACCATATACGCTCGAAGCAGCGATCTAGGTTGGGTGTAAGGTAGGCAATGTACTGTCACAAGAGCTACAATTTGAGCTAACAGAGCTGGGTTTATGACTCACATTTAAATAAGAGCCGATTTCAGCAAACTGCAAATAACATGTTTGCATGTGGGCATCGGCACTTCCAGCTGGATAGAGCTGGTAGCAAGGCGCTGCAAGCAGATTCATGCCAAGCCCCTAAATAAGGGGTAGAAGCATCAAATTCACTGTGAGCGGCCGAGGAAGGAGACTCCCCTCAAAGCATATGAATGAATTGCTAGTACAGCACTGGAGAGTGGGGGGCCAGCACAGTGGCACAGGGATTAGCGTGGCTGCCTCGCAGTGCTGGGGGCCCGGGATCCATTACAGACCTGGGGTGCTGTCTGTGTGGAGTTTGCATGTTCTCCCCTGTTTGCGTTGGCTTCCTGCGGGTGCTCCAGGTTTCCACCGTCCAAGTCCAGACCAGCTGGTAGGTTAACATGCTTCTGGGGAAAATTGGCCCTGTTTGTGAAAATTGTGTGTTTGTATCGGTCTGCCCTGTGATGGACTGGCGTCCTGTCCAGGGTGTAACCTGCCTTGTACCCGTTGCTTGCTGGGATAGGCTCCAGCTCCCCTATGACCATGAGTCGAATAAAGCTGTTAGAAAATGGATGGATTGTATCAAAGACAACTCGGCTGGCATATTTAGGTTTTCCTGCATAAAAAGCAGGAATTTTCTCAGAAAATTATTGTCTTTCTCAGAATACATTTGTCATCAGAAGTCTTATCATTTGGATGTTTTCCTAATCAAAACCCCTGTGCTAATCAGCAAAGCATGTTGCTCATTGATAAATGGGAGCAATGAAGTGAGGCGAGAGGGTTTCTCTGCTCAGCACTTTATTTTACAGTATTCATTAGAGAAAACGAGCTGCGGTTTGAGGCAAGAGTTTGAAAACCTGCAGTCCAGTAAGGATCCTATATTGGTGGGGCAATGTTCTCTATCTCACCCTGGATGCAGGTGCTTATCTATTCCTCTTACAAGACAACTTCAACTATCTCTTAACTGCGGGACAGTCGTGACGCCTGCAATCAGTCTGCCTCTGTTCTTGATAAAATAAAAAATATCCCACATAGGCTTGACTATTCTGCCAGTTCTGGAAGGCTATAGGGAGGACCCATGTAAATATAGATAAAAATGTTGCTGAGCTAGGATTGCAGGGTCTCATCCTGGACTGGGACCCTGGCTGTGATCTCCAGGCTGTAGGGGCTCATCCTGGACTGGGACCCTGGACTGTGATCTCCAGGCTGTAGGGGCTCATCCTGGACTGGGACCCTGGCTGTGATCTTCATGGCTCTAGGACTCGTATACCCCAGGCTGTGAAAGACTGCACTGGATAAAGAGGCAATGGAGGGTATTCTCCACCTCCCTGCCCTTCGCTCTTCGAAAGCAGCCGAAGAGAAATCGGAGTCTTGCACAGAGAGGTGCAGCACTCACTGCGCCCCTCAGAGCTGCTCTGTTCGAATGCATTAGCATGCTGCTCAAAACGCGCAACCCAGAGCAATCAATCTGCACTTGAACACTGCAGGTTCTTGATGCATGCTGTTGGCAGCTCGGCACACTCCAGTAACGAGAGGGATCGAGGGCGGGGGCTTCAGCGAAGGAGAGACCAGATAATTGGGGAGTGGGAGTGAAAACGTTAAGAACTGGGGGGAAGTGAGGCGCAGATCAAGAGAGAGACACGAGGAAGGAAAGCATGCAGGTGCGAAGAAATATAGGAAGTCAGTAAAAAATATCAAATTTAATTGACATTTTTCTTAATTTAAAAAGAACCCAAATTCCTGTGATGGCAATTAAAATGCGGTTCATTTTGCAAAGGTTTTTTTTTTCCCCTTTGTCCCCTTCATCCATTTCAAACGCAAGATCTGTGGGTTTTGGCTCTGCGTCAGTCACCGAGCTTTTAAAAATGCACCTACCGGGCACGATTTCACAAGGGACGCGCGTCAGGAGTGAGCCGTTAGCTATATTGGAAGATTGTGCTGGACAGCCCAGCGCTAAATCCAATGACGCAGCAGTTGGCAGGACAGAGGGGAAGCTAGCCGATCTGGGAGAACACGGACGTGTGAGATGTAAATGACGGCCCTCCTTTTGATAACCTGACACTTCCTCGGCTTTTTTTTAGCCACCTCAATTACATGTCATAAGGAATCAGAGTGTTCACAGCTGCAGATATAACACACACATGCCTCTTGGTGAGCATCCCGTTATCCTGTCTTGTAATGGCACTTAACCGATACATTCAAGCTTTTATATTATCGCTGCTTAATATTCTTCATAGTGATCCTGAATCCCAGGGGCTTCTGAGTGAACAGGCTGATGTAGACCCGTATCCCAACGTTCCCAGTAGGTCTACAGCCTGGATTTGTCTCCAGAGTGGATCCTAAAATTCAAATGAGTCCATAGAAGAATAAATCATTCAGCAGCCATTTTTTTTATCCAGGGTAGCTGTATTTGCGGGTCTTATTGTTGTCTCTGCTGTATTCACAGATGAGGCGGGCAGTGAGGTTGGACAGTAAGAGCCGTGTTTATAGAGATGGACAGGGGAGTTTACTTGCCATTTGCAACAGACAACACACAATGTAGAGAGTATATCACAGAACAGAAAATAATAAATAACGACAGTATGTACAGACAATAAACAGAACAATAAATACGTGGTAGCCAAAGGCAAAAGTGGGGAGGTGCTTTGAATTCAGTGGTGCTCAGCCAAATGTCCACGCCAGGTACACAACTGCTTCAAAGCCCATCAGCAAAGTGTTTTAAATAAAACACATCTTTTTCCCATCCAGGATATACAGTTAAGTCGACATTTATGTCCTAGACGCTTGCTGGGACAGGCTCCAGCTGTCTTGCGACCCTGAATTGGAAGAGTCGGTTCGAAAATAAAAGCATGTAGCAGTACGTGCAGAACTGATGAGCGCTCGGGTTGCAAGAAAAATAAGGACTTCCGTGTTCACGATTTGTTGTCATTGACAGGAGCTGTTCATCTTTGACTCGGCAGGGAAGGGGGTCTTTCTGGAAGCCTGTGAGAAGCTGGTAAGGGCTCCGATTTTGCTCTGTGCTTGAAAGGGGCGGGCAGATTAGCTCATCTGCATTGTCCTGTCTCCTCTCTGAGGCTCTTCTGCGCTTGAAGCCCAGGTCAAGCCCCAGGAGTGAGTACAGAAAAGGCCACAAAACGCGGTCCGCAGCGGGTCAGCCGATCCAGTCAGAAACGGAGCATAAGGGAAAAGAAAGCACTTCAGAAAATGATGTTTAAACCTGCAGGATCCAGTTAAAGAGAAGGAGCAAGCACGTGTGGGAAACGGATATTCGAAAGGCTGAGAGGGCAGTTAAAGGGGGTATTGCAATGGCAGGTAATGGGGAAAAATAAACGGGTTTGTTCAGTAAGTGTTCTTGCACTGCTCCATGATGTGCTCGCCTGTGCAGTGGGAGCAACCCGCAGTGCTGTGCCTGGTCTATGACATCAGCAGCGAGCAGTCTTTCCAGAACTGCGGCCAGTGGCTGGAGAGGGTCCGAGGACACAGCCAGGGACAGCACGTGCCAGGTGAGGGAGAGGCAGCAGGTTTCCCTTCTCCATTTTACTCTGATTAGCCATGCTTTGTACCACACTTACCCAAGACACGTCCAGTATTTACCACATGTATGAACATACTGGAGATGGGCAGCGCAGTGGCATGGTAGTTAGCATTGCTGCCTCGCGGCACTGGGGCCCCGAGTTCAGTACCTGAATGCTGTCTGTGTGGAGTTTGCATGTTCTTCCAGTGTTCATGTGGGTTTCCCCCTGATCCTAAATTGGAAGTGGTTAGAGAATGGATGGATGAACACAGACCACTCACTGGTCAGCCACAAAGCACGGTGGAAAACATGTTTGATTGAAGTGGAACTCAGGGTAGCAGGTAGGCAAACCCAATTCAAACACTGAAATCAACATGTTATGCACATTCCATGTTCCAGGAGTACCAGGAAACTGAGTGGATTGTAGGATATCTAGTTGGAAAAAATAACTTGCAAGCACGCCTAGTTCATGCACAGCATTAATTAGTCATTTTCTAATCATACAACACAACAAATTTGGCACGTGTCCGATGTGTCACGTTCTGTGAATTCTGCAGAAGAGCGAATTTGAAGTGTTCATCTTTGAGTTGCCCTTTTCTGTGAGCAGCGTATATGTGTAGACCTTGGAGTCAAGCCCCCGACTCGGGCAGAGATCCAGGAAGCTCCAAGACCGGTTCTGCACAGACCACACGAACTCCAAACCCCTTGCCTTCGAGAGTTGAAGTGCCTTTGTGAGCCCAAAAGCATCTCTTCTTCTATAAGGCCAGTTGCACATTCAGGAGTTTGAATCCACTGATGAACTTACAGCTTGGTGTAGTCTTCCCTTTGCGTCTGTATAAGTCACAGACCAGAACCAGTGGGCTCATCTGGGTCCCCCCAGAACCTCATGGAGCTGCGTCTGTTCTGGCTCTGCGCAGTGACGGTTCGCTGTCTCGCAGGGGTGCTGGTCGGTAACAAGACGGACCTGGCGGCCAGGAGGGAGGTGGAGTCCGGGCTGGCGCAGGAGTGGGCCGAGAGCCAGGGGCTGGAGTACTGCGAGACCTCTGCGGTGAGCCCGTTTCCCCCCTCCCACAGTCCACTGGTCCACAGAGCGCTCAGTCAGGTCTGACTCCTGACTTCCCCTCCTCTGTGCTCTCATCGGAAGCCAGAGAGGGCAAGTTCTAGCCACTGCATGGTTCATAGCAGGCTGACATTTCGTCAACTCGTCCGTAACAAACCTGTAAGTTTAAGGACCAATAGGGAGGCCCCAATATTAGAATAAGAATAGAAATACGTTGCTTAAATGCTTATTGAGAAGCCCTGTACTTGCTTTTCAGAGCTGAATTTTACTGTGCTTCCCTTGCATGGGCACAGCACGAGCTGTTCTTCAGAGCAGCGTTTTTCCTTGAGTGCTCTTGAATTTGCAAGAGTGTGATTTCAGGAAGTGAATTCAGTTAAACCCCAGGCCTTGTGTGTGTGTTTGTTTCTCATACAGAAGGAGGTGGAGAACTGTGAAGCCCCCTTCCTCATCCTGGCTCAGGTCTTCCACCAGCTCTATCAGGACAGACTGCAGGCCATCCAGGCCCTGGCCTAGGAACGAGCGCACACAGGCACGCCGGGCCTAGTGACCCGGCGGCACAGCGAGCGCCTGGTGTCATCCCAGACGCTCCCGGATTGTGTCCCATCTGGCTTTTGTCAACCCCCAACTGTCTGCATTACTTTTTTGCTTGATTTTGACCATCCGGATGGTTGTCCTAGAAAAATGTACACTTCAGGCTTCCAACTTCCAGACCTCTGCTGGAGCACGCTTTTGATCCTATTAGTCCTGAGACTGCACGTTATCGTCTGGGCTGAGGCAGGGAGGTCCTATGGAGGAGGCACACAGCTGGCCAGGTGAGCAGGAAGTTAGCTAGGGATTCCTCAGGAGCCTGTGCAACAGCAGCTGCAGAGAGCCGAGAGCTGCGTCTGTCCTCTGATCAGCAGCTTAGCCTCACACCCGCAGGCCTGCCTGATGCTACAGGAGTCGGAGAGAACGTCAGTGTTCTTATTGTCTCTGCCGTCGGAGATGTGGCAGTGAGCCAAGTCAATGGAGAAGTGGTCAGTCTAACATTGGCTAACAATCTGGGCTTTCAGGATCTTTGATACTTTCACAAGTGGCAGTTCTCAAATGATATGCAAAACTGGTCCTCATTAACTCGACTTGGGACAAAAGGAAAATAAAAAGGTGCTCAGGTTCAGGAGATGGTGAATCGTCCCTCTGAGCAGAAAGGTAAAGCAACAGTTGTTGATTCCAAATGTGGATGTTTTTCATTTTCAATTGCATATGTAATTAAATTGCTATATAAAAGGTCCCAAAAATGTGGTTTAGGTTTTAACTTAAATTGCATTTGTGCTTTTGGGAAAGAGTTTGCAGAGAAGCAGATAAGACTACAGCACGGCCAGTTCTACAAGCTGGTGGCTCTTGTATGGGAACCAGCAGCAGGAGCGTCTTGCTCTTTTGAAGCACATGTGCTGAGGCAGGCGTGCGCGATCAAAGCCGTATTAAATATTTTGCTTTTCTGCATCATCAGTAGTTTGTAAGGCTGCTGGATGTGGATCAAAATGCTGTGCTTAGGCCGTCTTTTCTGCCCCTCTGGTTTATTGGACAGGGGTTGGCATCCGTCTTCCAGTGTGAGCTGGCAGCGCCCTGCTTTAATCTCTCGGGAGCAGACAGGTATGCTGAGGAAGAACGAAAGGGTTTTTTTTACAATAGAGAACAATCTGTCGGTATTCGTGAACAACATTTTTTTTGTGATAAGACGGTGTTCGAAAATTGAGCAGCAGGAAGAGGAACAGCCTATTTTATCTTGGTCATATCTGCACTGGTTACGGCCTATTTTGGCAGAGGAGTGGCGGTGCACAGGTGTTCCTGTAGCCTTTTTAGCAAGCTCAATTTGGCTTAAAGCTATCGAATTGGTCCTTATGTGCCTGGCTCAGTCAGATCTCATCCCGGATTGAGCACTACGATGATGTGTCTGCAAGGGCTCATGCTGGAGTGGGAACCGTGTTAACTTTTCCAAACTCGCTGGACAAATTATTTTAACTCCATAGCTGGGGCTGAGACATCCTTGGTCTGGTTGAGTGCTGTAGCCCATTTCGATGTGGGTTATTTCTCCGAGTTGCGCAACCAATCAGTTTGTTCTCAGTGTGTCGGTTGTCGCTGGGAGTCAGACTGGGTAAGTTGCTTTCATCGTCACTCTCTCTTGCCATCTTAACATTTTATGGGATCCTTTCTTAGCCTCCTGTGTGCTGTGAAGAATCTGTCTGTTCCTCTAGGATCCCTCTGCTCTCCGAGCTTATAGAGGAAATGCTGTTCCCCGATATGATACATGTTTGCTTTACTTATAACCCATTTAGTGTACATTAGGAGCACAAGATATATGACATTTTGTTACAAGCTCTTTCTTTTATGCACTGAGTCATTCTCTTGCAACTGAAAGTCTGATTTGTATCAGCCTTCACAACCCACCACCTATTACCACAACAAGCATGGTAGCTTATTCCAGGCATTAACAGTTCCTTGTGTAAAAGAAGTGAGGAGTGCACTTCTTTCACTTTAAACAAAACATTTACCTTTATTAAAATGTTGTGCACCCGAAACTCTCGCTCATTGGCTTACCACATTTTCCAAGTTAGTTTTTGGTTCTGTAAAGTCATCTTGATATTTCGTTTCGCTGTCTCAAAGGGCGCAAATGGAAATAAGAGAATAAGAATTGTCCAAAACAGTTTTCTTCTGAAGATGGGTCCAGATAATCTCCACTGTCTGTGTTTGCGTTAAGAGGAAGATGGAGACCCACTGATGCAGTATTGTGAACACATTAGTATTCTCCTACACTTGCATTTAATCTCAGTGCATCAAGATTGTCTGGGTTATTTTCCAAGCTTTACCACCAGAGGGAGAAAGACTGCAGTACAATTCACGGTCTCCTCTCTGTACCTTTAGTTTAACCCTGTCAGTGAGAAGCTGTCCTGTTGTATCTTTGCTGCACTGTGATTGCTAACACAATGCCACTTACAAACATCTTTATCCTCCATTAAAGCAAGGACTAATAAATACAGGCATCACCCAAAACTGGTACAATAAATCATTTTTATGCTATAATAAGCTGAACCTAATGTGATCGTAGCACATACTTAAATCCATACTTTATAAAATGTAGTTCACTGTGTGCTCTATTTTTTTAACAGAAAGCAATAACTTAGACAATTTCTTAGCAGTGAACCTGCATTACTCGGGTTAATTCAGCCATTAATTCAACCATTTTATTTGATACAATGTATGGGGTGATTTTAAAATTATATGAAGGAATAAAGCACAGACAAGTGAAAACTGTGGTATATCAACCATGCCTGTAATAAGCCCTTCATACTCCTGATTGCCGAGATTCCAGCTGACATCATAGACAACATGGCCGTTCTTAAAGGTTCTCATTCTGCTCTTCGTTCTCACTTGGTACAGCAGTTTAGTAACTTTGGCTTCTTATAGTAATTCCCTCATAGTTTCTGATTCTGATACTGTGCCTTATTTCTTTTTCTTGAATGATATAGCCCCCCCTGGGCTGACTACATTTATACACCCAATAGCCTTGGATCAGATCTCCTTTCAATCTGCTTGGGGTCAGACTGATGTGATTTTGCCCCCTTATTGCGGCTGTATCTGCGATAAACTGGTGTCCCGGCCAGTGTGTACCCTGCCTCACACCCTCTGCTTGCCAAGGTAGAGGTAGGCTCTGGATTCTCCGTGGCCCCCTGTTGGCTGAAGCTGTTGGAAAATGGATGAGTGAATGGATCACGTCTCTACGTGTAGCTGAGACCAGGAATCATTTAGTTGCTCTGCTTTGAAATCAAAGTCTATAATATATATTTTTTGTGGTACATTGATCACTACCAAATACCACATTCTCAATGAAGTCTTGCTGGAACACTTTAAACCATGACATGCCTGATTAACATGATAACTTCTTCTGTTTACTTGGGCATCCTGCTTTTTCATGCCATCTTGATGAGGACCCAGAAGGAGAGGAGGCTTTTCAGGTGACTTCACCGGTTTCGTAGGTAGGGGGTTTATGGGTAAAACTTAAACTCAAATAAAGGTTCCATTTACTTTAATCGTTTAAACTACAGCTGGCATGAAGACAAGAAGACAGGGTATTCCCATGATCAATATGGAGAAACCTTGTTTAAGCTCATTTGGAATAAAATTTCAGTAGGTCCTCCAGACCAGTAGGTGACGCTGCTTTGCGCTGAGCTCCACACATGCTCCTCCAGCAGCTCAGCGATCACACAGCCCTGCAGAAGACAAGCTGGGCTTTGATCAGCTCTCCAGGATAGAAGCACATACACACACTGAGAGACAGGGACTGACACGGGCTGTGGGAGAGAGAGGGAGACTGATACTGAGACAATTTATCAAAAGGATTTAGTAGTCTCGGTTTATCTTTTCCCTCACGTCGATGAGGCTGAGAAGCAGTAACAAATGTCAGCAGAACCGGAAGGTAATATATCAAAAAGTGTAGAATTGTTTAACCATTAAAAGTATATAACATTGTAAAGATCATTTAAAAAACAATATAGAGAGGAGCAGTTAGAACTAATTCCTGGTCTCAACAGGAAAGTCTTGGGCAGCACAATGGCATAGTGGCTATATTGCAGCGTTGCCACACTGGAGCCCTGGGTTCAATGCCAGACCTGGGGTGCTGTCTGTGTGGAGTTTGTATGCTCTCCCTATATTTGTATGGGGTTCCCCTGGGCTCTCCGGTTTCCTCACACAGCCCAATGACGTGCAGGTAGGTTAAATTGTTTCTGGGAAAATCGGCCCTGGTGTGAATGTGTGTGTATCTGTCTGCCCTGTGATGGACTGGCGTCCTGTCCAAGGTGTACCCTGTTTTGCACCCAGTGCTTGCTGGGATAGGTTCCGGCTTCCCCACAGCCCTGTATTGGAAGAAGCAGGTAGAAAATGGATGAAAAGGAAACTCTTTACATCGTGTAAACAGGTTAAAGGCATAAAATCTGCCAGAAGTTTTTAATTTTTGAAGCCTTCGAATCAAAATTCCTCTCCGAGTTAAAAAGAGACGTGTTTCAGCAATACAGTGACCCAGGGAGGTAAGGTCACTACTCAGGGAGGACCTTGGTTTAATATTTCATCTGACTCAAAACATCTCCTACAGCACTGCATCCCCCAATCACCACACTGGGGGCACTGCACACGACTGGAAGAACACCTACTGGCCAGACGAGACGATTTCGTCCACCACAGACCCGACCTCGCCGAGCGTTCCGAGTTCTCGCCAGGATGGAGTGTTGCAGCCACGGTTCACAATATTTCGCAATGGAATCTTCGCCGTTCGAAGATGATGATGAACGCCGAATGCCGTTCCCTTTAACGCACGCCGGACTGTGGCCTCGCCCAGAATGCCTGTGCACGTGCATAACCATAGGTTTCTGAGCTCAGTGTCCTGCTCCTCTACTGCGGCATCCTCCACGCTGACAGAGGGGCCCGGTGAGTTTGAGTGGCCTGAATCGGCTCTCTTTCCCCCTCCGGAATCCTCCTAGTGTCTTGAGCGCGGCTTAGAGGTTGCTCCGCAAGAGAGAGAGAGAACGAGCGAGAGGTAGGGGGGACAGAGGGAGGGTGGGGGGCTGTGCAAGTGAGTCACAGCGAAGAGAGGAGGGGAGAGGGAGAACATGCAGAAAAGGCAAATTAAGGACAAGTGTGTCCCCGAGCCAAAAAGGCAGGAGTAAGACACAGAAGGAGGGTGTGAGGAGGGCTGCCTGCGGATGGGAAAGGTCTATTTGGATGTACAGGTATATACAGAAAACACGCATAAAACCCACCAATGGGAACAAAATGGATAAAAGATGATAGCTGGAACAATTTCATTGCATAAAAAGGTAGAAATTTGCTCTTCAGGGATGGCAGGTGTAAAGATGTTTGGAATAGACCGAGATCCCAAAGGTTGTTTTTTTTGTGGTGTCTATTCTTCAATCATAAAAGGTGGAAGAGAGGTTTACTGGATAGTTTCTGCATAAGAAATGTGCGTTGGAATATTTTAGCACAAGTGTCACTCTGCTGTCTACTAACATTTGGAATGAGTCTTAGAACTCATGCTCAATATCAACATACTGCTGTCTGTGTGAGTGTATGATCTGTGTCTCAGTGGAATGTCCATATGTATTAGTAAATTTCTAAGCATTTATAAATCTGTACATCTCTGCAGTTCATAATGTTTGATTATTTTTTTTTCTAACTTAAGTCCCTAGTTTCATATTTATATTCTGTGGTTCGGATATTTATTGAGTGAAACATGAGGTTGGTTATTGTTTTTTTGAAAGTTTTTGTGAGTAAATATGCATTTTGAAATGAAATTATTATTGTTTTGATGTAGTTGAACAGTAAAGGTTATTTTAAACTTCTGTATGCAACATTGCACTAAAGCAATGTGTCTGTGTAGTGTAGTGATGGTGCAAGCAGTATAAACTGGTTCTGTAATCAATATGGTAGAACTGGACTGAACTGCTGTGTGCTAGCCTGACTCTCTCTCTCTCCATGCTTGATCTGAGACGGAGCTCTAAAATGGCTTCCTGGTGCTGCACAGAAGGCTGCTGGGAGATGCAGTTCCTTTGCAGAAGAAATCTGGTGTGTTACTGAGGGAACTCGGACTAACTGGTCAACCCTGATGCTGTAGGAAGGGTACAGATGACAACAGCATACCTTCTGTAGTAGTGTGAGCAGCGACAGTCCCACGGTATCTGCTGGGAAATTCAGTACAGATTATGAAAAGGGGTGGAAAAGCAATAGAAATAAAAGTTGACAGTCATATGTGCAGAAGATCTGGTTTTGAATTTAACCTTGTCATCTGCACCAGACATTAAGTGTTTATGTGCTGTGGAACAGGTATATATCACAGGTGCACTATGGCCAAATGAGTCTAACACCTATCTTGGTTAGACCTTAATTATTATCTCCAGGTTTTGAAATGTTGATTCTAAGTAAATGCCTGTGATCTTATGCTGGACTGGGACCCTGGCTGTGATCTCCGGGCTGTAGGTGCTCATCCTCAGTTTGGAATGTGGTTTTGAAGGGCCCTAGTGTAAGTATGTGTGTAAGTTTGTGTGTCTGTGTGTGCCCTGTGAACAAATTGGCATCCCGCACAGGCTGTACCCTGCCTTGCACCCAGTGCTTGCTGGGATAGGCTCCGGTTTCCCCGTGACCCTGTAAAGGATAAAGCAGTTAGAAGATGAATGGGTGGAAATCACGGTTATATCTGTTGGCCTGGTGCTATGGGTTCAAATCCCTGCTGCAGATACTGTTGTTGCCCCTTCGAGCAATTATCAGTTCTGGGGTTAATCCCTATAATAGACTGTCTTCCCATCCAGAAGAGATTCATACGCCCTCTTGTCAATGCCTAGGAAACCAGGATGAGGCTCTGGGCCGATGAACCCATGTGGCCTGGATATGGGAACTTACCTATATGCATTGGCCTGATTTCTCCAAAAGTACAAGACTAAATAGCATCCATGTGCTAGTGACTTCCTCATACTGGCGGCACAACCCAGAGACCACTGTCCCATGACGATGCTGGGACGGAGGTTTAGCTCAGTGGCTCAGTGGTGGATATGAGCACAGTGGCTCTGCCCGTGCTGAACTGAATCAGCCTCTCCCTGTTCCTTTCAGAGGGCTGCGGAGCCAGACTGTCAAGACTCACAACGGCTTTTGTGTCTTTGGTCCGTTTCCCATCCACAGCTCTGGGTCACTTCGTTGGTCTAACGAGCTGTCTAATGAGACATTTTATAGGCAATCGTGACTCAAGGACATCTCCTAAGTTGCCAACTGTAAAAGGAGTCCCAGAGGAGAAAATAATTAAATTACTTAACTGTAGGAGTACCACCTGGCCTCATAATTTCAGAACGGATACAGGGCAGGTTTTTAAAACTGACATTAACATCCAGCATTAATTCCCGTTTTGCTAAATAGAGCTTGCAGCAGAGGGGATAATGTACTGTTTAGCAAAATGAAAAATAAAAACATAATACAAAGTAAAAAAAGCACGTGGTGCTCCGTGGTTAAACAGCCACCCTTGCAATACAGCTAACCTTTAACTTTCAATTTCTGCTCTTATTACTCTCTTCTGCATGAACTTTCAAAGCGTCTCCTGTCTCGAAATGTCCTAGAGTTCTGGCATTGCTAATTAGCAGAGAGCTCGGGCTGGTTTGAAAGCCAGAGGACCTTACACTCACATTACCCTGAGGAATTAACTTGACTAAAGGCCAGGAAAATAGAAATGCTAAGTGCGTTTCAACTTAAGTACGTAATCAGTTCAGTGAACTTCCAGAAAGGGGGCCTTGGACCCTTAACCACTGTAGGCTTATTAGCCCTTCTGATTTGTTTGGATCTGTAGATCAAAGCCTTCATAAGTCTTTGCACTTGTGGGCGTTCTTAGCTGAATTTCAGGTCATGTACAGATGTTTCTGTGGCACGGAGGTTCATGGTGTCAACGGTTAAGCACTGTGAGATAAATGAGGATCATAGATTCTGGAGATCAAATCCCAGTTCAGATCCAGGACAAGCTCCCTACAGCCTGGAGATCACAGCCAGGGTCCCAGTCCAGGATGAGCCCCTACAGCCTGGAGATCACAGCCAGGGTTCTCAAACTGAGAACTAGGATGGTGTCTGTGGGACCCAAGATCTTACGAAAGCTGATTACTGTAAATCTCAAATGCAGTTCTGTCTACATTACCTTTGCTTCCACACTGATTTTGTGTGGCATTATGGTGCTGACTTTACCTGAGTATCTGTAATAATAATAATAATAATAATCTAGCATCATTACCTTGGATGAGGCGTGTTCTATTAGCCTCCAGCCTGGAGTTACCACTTTCTGTGGTCATGTCTGTCTTCTTGTAAACCAAGAATACTTTATGGAAAACTTGAAGCACACAAACTGCTGATCTTCTTCTAGTACCCTTAACTTGTCTACTGCAGGATTGTCTTGGGTAGGCCACACAGTTTTTATGGTTACTGGCAACTGAACAGGGTTGGAGTCAAAGAGCCCGGGACTGGTGTAACTCTCTGTTCTCCTCAGATCTGAGACATTGCCTGCAAGCTCAGGGTCAGCTGGGGGTGACAATTGTGTGTCTGCCTGACCCCTACCAGGACCATAGGAGATAAAAAAGTACTATGTATAAACCTACTACATTAAGAGGCGGAAGTCTCAGATGCAAAACCTTGGACCTGTAAGCATTCAAAGAAGCCATATCTTAAAACGAGGTGATACTTACAGATGCGTCATGGGCCACTGCAATCCAAGTACCGGTCAAAGTGAGCACCTGTTTCTACACACCCACAATTCTGCTATCACATGTTATGGGCTTAGGAGGTAGAGGCAATCCTTTGCATGCTGAAAACACATTAACTCATTGATCTTAGACATACGCGAACAGAAAACATTAAGTTTTAAGAATTAAGAATCATTAAGAATCGCACCAGCACTTGGCACAAAGATGGACATCAGCAACTTGATCTCAAAACAATCCAAGTCATACTCTCATTTGTCTTTCAACTTGTTTTTTCTACCTATGCCTTTATATGAAATGTGGCTCTCTTACCTAGATGAGGAGGTGATAACCAGAGTCATTGTTACAGGGAGGCAAAATACATTGATTACAGCTAGAAATTAACTTGCACAAGATGAGATTCTCTTAAAGGTCCTAGAAAATTTTAGACAGTTTTGCTTCTACATTTGTGAGCTCTGACAGCAATATAAGAGAAAAAAAGCAAAGAGCATATCCCAAAAACCACACCAGGAAATGTTTTGCGTTTAAGTTTCCTCTAGGGTTCCAATTTTATTCATCATCGGGACTTGATGCATCCAAGTTTAGGATAATTCAGTTTTGGCACCTTTTTAATTTTTTATTTCCCCCTTTAAACAACACAACGCGAATCAGAAAAGAAAAATGACTAAGGCTGTGTGAAATTGAAAAATAAACACATACATTATAAATAAACAAGTAAAATAAATTAATATTTTTTCTTTAAAAAAAGCGGTTTTGTTGTTCGTATTGTGTTCGATTTACCCAAAGCGTAAAAGAAAAAAATACACACAAAACAGTTAACAGTTTGACATGGTGTCTTCGCGTTTCCTTATATTATTTTTTTAAAACTCAAGTTTTTTTTTTTTCCCCCAAGAGCAGATTTGCTGTATTTTTATTTTTTATCTTTTAGCATGCACGTAAATTTCTTTGTTTTGCGAGTCACTTAGCTTCGGCTGTTTTTTTTTTTAAATATCTCGAACTTGTAGTTTGTATCGTTGTTTCGATTTCTCTTTTTTGCAGGTATTTTTTATCGTCGTCTTCTTTTTCGTGGCTTTTTTTTTTGTTCTATTGTTGTTGTTGTTGTTGGCGCCGTTAGAAAACGAGTCCTTTTTTCCCCCTGAAAGGTGTACCCCCGCTGTGTGTCTTACCCTCCTTCCCGTAGTCGTGGCCCGTTCGTCGGTAACGGAAACCTAACTGAGGTCGAGGCCGCACTCCTACCAACGACGAGTAAAAAGAGCGAAGACAAAGGGTACAAAAAGAGAAGTTTCTTTTAAAAGAATAGAATTTGTCTAATATTTGCTGTCAGTGGCATTTTGTTTCCACCCACCACGGCTGCGCCAAGGTGGGCTGTCACTTTTAGTTTATGTTTTGTTTTTTTCCTTTCGACTTCAGTCCCAACGAGCAAGCGAGTCCTTTTGATTGTTCACTGCGGCCTTGGTGAGTCTCCGTCCATCAGGTACATGTAGCTCGTACGTTTCACATTGAAGATTTTGCAGAGTTTTAATCCCCACGGCGTTTCATTTCACAGTTTAATGCAGAAGACCAAAAAAAAAAAAGAAAGAAATAAAACACGTAAGTCAGGGGTGGGGAGGAGAAGCTGTAGCCCCGTCTGAGTTGAGGAGAGAGCAGCGAAAAGACGAAGCCAAAAAACAAACCGCATAATAAAAAAAATAAACATTAAGCTTCCGTCCCCCTCTTCAAAAAACCCGTACCCCCACCCAACTTTACAAACACAGAACTGAAAGCACCCTCCCCCCTTTTTTTTCCCAGCCCAGCCCTATCACAATTCCAAAATCTCAACCACTAGGCCCAAACCTGGAACCAGTCCGTCTCTTTATAAAATTCTTTAAGTAATGGTAGATGGGAAATCATGCATTTTTTTAGATCTTTTATACTTTTTTTTTTCCTCAACATGGAATTGGTAATATATATTTTTTTTCTTCTATCAGCTTTGCCTTTTTTTGTCGTCACATCTGGGCTCCTCGTCTCCCCCCCTCTCCTTCCCTTTTCCCCCTTTCTCCCTCGCAGTGTCCCGTCCCGGCCCCCCTCCCTCTCCACCCTCCGGGCTCTCCTCTCCCCGTTCCTCCCTCGCTCCCTCATACGGGGGTGGTGCGTCGGTTGGCTGTGTTGGTGTGTGAGGAGTCCTTCAGGTCCTTCTGGATGCAGTTGTGCACCTGCAGAAAGTTATGGTCCCTCTCCGAGTTGTATGTGGCCGTCGGGGTGGTCGCGGGCTTCATGTCCCGCGTCAGCGTGTACATGGAGATTTCGGTGGTGGGGAGGGTGTTGAAGCCCTTGAGCCCCACGGGGGAGGTGTCCCGGGAGTGCGAGGGCTCCGTGGACCGGGAGCTGGAGCGACTGCGCCTGCCATAGCGATATCGGTAGCTGGGGATGCGAGTGATGGCCGAGCTCTGCAGGTAGTCGGTGGAGCGGACCCCCGCCCGCAGCTCCTTGTGCCGGTCGATGAACATGTGCACAGCCAGCACCCCCACCATCTCGGCGATGATGAAGGACAGGGCCCCGAAGTAGAAGGACCAGCCGTAGGAGTAGCTGTTTTTCTTGGAGTCGCTCTTGGAGGGGTCCCCCGCGTTGGCTGATATGTACACGATGATCCCGATGATGTTGCTCAGTCCTGCGGGGCCGAGGGGGGGGGGAGGAGGAAGAGGAGGGGGAGGAGCAGGAGGAAAACGTGGAGAGAGGGGGGTTTGGGGGGAGAGAGAGAGAAACCGCGGTCAGAAATGTTCCTCGGAAGTTAGCACGCATCACTTGAAGCCGCCTGCAAACCACCCTTTGAAGAACAATATTCAGATCCTGTCTTTCAGACCCTCATAAATAATCACCTGAGACGCCTTCCTTGACGTACCTTGGCCAAACGTGATAAGTGATGAAGATCTATGGGAGAGCACAAACCGAGATCGGTTTGAAACACAGACTAGATGTTTATAAAAGGGCACACAACATGGACAGCGGTAGCCTGCTCCGCCAGGCCAGCCCTCAGGGGAAGCCCACGGGGGGTAGAGAAAATGTGGGAGACAGAGAAACAGCCGGAGAGGAGCACTGGAGGCCCGACTGACAGAAACTGGAACGAGGTGGAGATCAAAGGAGAGGACAGAGCAGCATCGAGCCTGCTTGAAACCTCCTGAGTTTTATCAGTTGTTTTTCTCTCCTCTTAGTATTTTATATTCCATGCAAGCACTCTATATTATAAATCGCCTACAAGACATCCAACCAGATTTGCAAAAGTCCTGTATTGTTTATCTTCTATGTAAATGTCACCATATGTATAGAACCCGGAAAGTAATAGTAGCAATTCAGTTGGAATACATCAGTCTGCCTTCCTGGCCTGAATGAAATTTAGCTGTGTAGATCAAAGGGAACATTTCCATTTTCTAACAACTGTAACGATGTAACTGCTGCACTGTACTGTGAATGAGCAGAATGTTATTGTTTTCCTGCCTATTGTTTATACATTGGCTAATGACATATTACTCGACTAATTAACCAGGAATATGATCATTTTCATACTTGGGTACCATTCTGTGCCATATTAAGATTAAGTTTGGGTATTGGAGGGAATATTCTAAAATCAAGGACCAATTGGAGATTATAACAAGAAATAATAAGCATTTGTTTTTCATGCAAATTTGTACTTTGCAAGCGGTTTTGAAGGAATGAATTAAGCTCTTATAGCACGGAATGACAATATTTTTCTATATGACATTTTTTTTCCCTCAGGATTGTCAGCCACATTTGTTTAATTGCATCAGCATAAATTAAAACTACAGATGCAGCGGTTTGTTTTGCTATATTTTCAGACTTGTACCTCTTTGCCATCCCACTTTATTTTATCTCCGAATGAGTAACGGGGGCAAACTTACAGAAACCGAAGCACATGCAGAATTCTAGCTCTTTTTGTTCTTTTGTTCTGTCAAAAAAATCTGTAACTGTGTGAAGTTCACATGATAGATTGCTAGGAAAGTATGTCAGGGACAGTGTATTTTTAGAGTTTAATCCCAGTGGGTCCTCCTTACCCCTAGCAACAGGAAAAAGAAAGACCAAGCCACAAATATCTGAACTGCAAGTGTACAAGAAGATCCTGTTTTCTTGGCCAATTCAATCAGCTACTGTACTCCTCAGAGCTACGCAACACTCTAGATCACCAGTAGGGATTCAGAACTCGATCACCTTGTTTCCACCACAGGCTCAGTGAAACTCACTGGACCCGCCTCCAAAAGTTTCAAAATTCATCAGAAATGAGACAAGATGTGGGACAGATGGGCGGATTAGGAATAGATAACGCAGAGCCAACAATGTGTAACAATACATTTCCATAAACACATGTAGGCTTCAACTGGTCCCAAAGGAAGCGTTATTAACTACCTTCACATGAGCACACGATCTTTGGCTGAAACTCTCTTTCTTCCTCGCGACTTCATGCCTTGTTAATTGAATTCCCTTAGTCTCGTAGCGGGGAAAAAAGTGTAATAGGGAACTTTGTCTGCGTACGAAAACACACGACTTGAGAGCACTATAAGGTGGCACAAGTGTTTAAGGGCACAATGTGACTATATGAGAGAGAACCAGGTTTTTTCTTTGCAAACAGTTGAGAATGATTGTTGTCTTCCATGATTTTTGGATCGGAAGATGACTTTTTCTTGTACCTGTTTTTTTGTATAGTTTTGTATCTCCGGCTGCCTGAAAGGGCTGTCTGATAGCTCAGAATTGCAAGGAATGGGCCCAGTGCCCCGTCAAAAAACTCTGTAAGTATATATAAAACTATATAAAAAAGTATATATACAAACTTAAAAATAAGAACAACAAAACACAGAAAGTCAGGAAAACAAGCCAAAGTCCAGAGCTGGGAAGAGAACACAAGCGCAGTTCAAAGGGAAAGTCTAAAAACAGGCCAAAGTCCAAAATTAGGTATGTAATCCAGGAAAAGCAAAACGCCAGGAGCAGGAGCAATAACCAGGAAAAATCCCAGAAGCACTAAGTGAACAAAACACAAGGACAAAAAACAAGGAGCAGCAAACAAGAGAATGAGTCAGGGCAAGGAGGAAAATGCCATCAAAGGCAACACTTCAAGAAAGTCAGAATGTGGAGATCAGTGCAGAGGAAAACAATACTGACCACAGCATGGTCAGAGAGCAGGGTTTGAACAGGCCTGAGGGGGGAAGGCGTGGTCACCTTAGGGCACAAGACCAGGGATTGGCTACTGCTTGGTCTCGGCCTCCGCCGCCAGGCAGGAATAGCGACTAGAGCGTGGAGTGCCCCCTGGTGGCGAGATGGCGGAACCATAACTCTGCCCTTAGATGGTTTCAAAGAACTCAAATCGTTCCTCGGGTGCAATTGTCCCCCACTAGTCTGCTTCGATGCTGCAGTTCGTCGTGGTGGCCTTGAGGATGTCTTTGAATTACTCCCTGTGCCCCCCATCTTGAGCGTAGGCCATGTTTGAGCTCGGAAATAGAGACCCGATTTGGGATTCCGGAGTTGGACGTCCGGACGACACAGCCCGATCAGCAAAGTTGACGATGGTTGATCATCCCCTCAGTGCTCACTGTGTTTGCTCATGAGAGGATGTTCGCGTTGGGTCATTTGTCCTTTGGCTGTATTCACATGATATTCTGGAGGCAGCATTGCTAAAACCTCTCTTGTGCTTTGAGGTGTCTCCCGTGTCTACAACTTGCCTATTTAGAGTAGGGGAGGGATCATAACTACTTCATGACAAGTCTTGCTTGGGACACCAGCATCCATATTATACTGCCCCAGTTCATAGGCTATAATTTCAGTCTGAAGCTCTGGGCAATCCCTGCTAGATGTGTCCATCAGGTGTATGATGTTCCAGGCCTTGAATCCGATTTTTGTAACCTTGTTGTTTTAGACTTAGGCAAAGGTGATCCCACTAGACAAGGTCATTTTGTCAGGAAAAGGTGATAATGCCCATGTGGGGTGAGCAGAAGGGATCCTTAAAAGGGCTGCTCACTTGCCTCACAGGGCTCATGTGCTAGATCTTCTTGTTGCGTCTTGTAGCTGCCATCACTGTGCCAGTCTGTGACCAGTCCCGTTCTCCTCATCATTATCTGATTGGCCCTGGGGCTGCAGTGCACATGCTGGAAGATGGTGTTTCCACTGAATGCGCAAGTGCAAGACCTCTTGGCTCATGCAGAAGCTGTCTCTGCTGGCGGGACTGGTCTGGACCTTTGGACGTCTCCTTCCTTTGCAACCTTCATCCAACGTCCCACCCATGAGATCCCGGCGTCATCCTCCGCCAGCTCTTCCGCTCGGGACTTGAGGAGCCGGGGCTGTGGGGTGAGTTCAAGAGGGGTTCACCGGAGGGGCCGATGGGTGGCTCTTTAAATTGAGGCAGAGCTCGGCTCAGGTTTCCACGGCGTGACTGAACAGCTGGAAATCCCCCTGCATTTCACCACATACATCTACCCATGTGTCCAACCACCACAACATGACAGAGCGCAGTCAAGTCCAAGTGAGATAAGTAACTGCCAGCAAAAACAGTGAGTGTGTTTTTTTGGTTTTGCCTTAAATAGCCAGATAGCGAGCCTTTTGGACGTACTACTATATAAATAATCATAATTACCCTAACTAATTGAACCAATGAATCAATGTGACCTATTGCTATTACACAGAAATATCCAGTAACATTGACTGAAATAGATTTATACATTAATATTTCAGCATATACCCAGACATTGACATATATACTGTATGTATGAGAACTCTATATCAATATATCTGAAAATTTTCCAGACAAAAAATTGAAAATACAGTGTAATATGTTGTTCAATGCTATGTATATAGCAGTAATGTATATTAATTTATATTTAATGTATATTAAATTATATTACAGACACATACACATTCAATGTGTGCTCTAGAAATTCATATATGAGTGGATACACTGTCACTGGAACCCAATACAATGACATTAATAGATAAGCCAATATATAAAATCCTGGAAGACACTGATAAAGTCATATCAGAGGACCTACAATGAAACAAGGACCTTAGAACACAAGTAGAAACTAGGAGGAAGGAGGGAGAACAGGAAAGTGACTGACTGAGATACTTGGACCCATAAGCTGCTTGCAGCCTCTTGACCTTGATGGGATGTATGGCCTTGTCTTCCTTATGACCTTACTTATGTTCAGAGCCAGAGCCTATTCTGGCAAACAACAGGCACAAGGCAGGGTACACCGTGGCTGGGACGCCAGTCCATCACAGGACACACACAGACATAGACACACCCCCACTCGCACACCAGGGCCAATTTTCCCAGGAGATAACGAACCTACTAGTATGTCTTTGGACTGTGGGAGGAAACGGGAGCACCCGGAGGAAACCCACACAAACACAAGGAGAACATGCAAACTCCACACAGATAACAGCCCAGGAATTGAACCCAGGACCCCAGTGCCGCAAGGCAGCAATGCTAACCCCTGCGCCACTTATTTTCATAAGTTCAGAAATGTAGAACGTTTCCAACTTTCCGCTACACATGAGAGGAAGCCATTCAAGAATCTAAGTGCTTCATGGGGCTGATTTTGAAACAAACCAGAATATCAGCTCCAACAGCATGGCCTGGTACCTTTTGCCATTCTCCTACAATCCTCTACTGTAAGTAAAGACAGCCTCCTGTCCTCCGTTTCAGACGCACTTCCATGCCCTTTCCACTTGTCCAGCCTTATTTGTGTCTCACACTCCCTGTGGATTTGTCATCTCTGTCCAGGACTGAAAGGGTTCAGTCCCTCGGCAGTCTTCACGGCAAGAGACCGATCCCCTCAGCTGCCTACCTGCCGATACGAAGAAGATGCCGGCGCTGAGGATGATGTTGTGCCGCGTCTTGTAGAACTCGCTGGCTGCGATGCACAGCCCCCCCATGAACAGCAGGATGACGCTCAGAATGGGGAAGATGCTGGAGGCACGTACTGCACCTACACCGGGGGACAGAGGCGGACAGTGAGACCGGCGAGCTTTCACCCGGGAGATGCAAGACATATCACCGGAAAAAAAACAACAACTTTAAATGTCATTACGTTTCAATAATTCCCTTTAAGGCAGAAAAGAAATATGAGAACACCAATACGGATGTGAAGAGATGCATTCCAGAATAATATTGCGGTATCTCAACGTATTCCAGACACACCAGGTAAAAAAGATTGCAAGATATGTTAGGAGGAACCTGCAATAAAAATATTTCATTCTGGCATTCATTCATATGTTAGTCGGGCATATTCACACTTTAATAGAATTTCTTGTCTTATTTTATATTGCGAGGAAAATCTCAATACGCAGCTTCCTGTGTGTTTCTGTCATCACTGTGATTTCTCTTATTTTGACATGTTCTCCGTTGAAACTCTAAATACACAGAATCAAAAATATTATGTAGTTTAGCCCGGTGGGGCTGCTGGTACAGAACGAACACTTTGTGTCGTCCAGGTCGGGACAGCTGCTGTGTGTCTCCCAGATGGGGGCTACACTTAAGGGGTACACTATGTGTAAACCACTTTGGTATGAAAAGCACTATACTTTGTACGTCTCTAACTAATTAATCAGTTCAACATTTAATTGTGACCTCAATTGAAATTGGATTTTAAGAAGGACCCTTGAATGGCAGGAAGAAAGCTCCAGGTCAGAAAAAAACGTTCAGAGAAAACTTGCTTATGTCTGCACTTTTCCAAGCCCGAGATTTATGGTCTTTTATATCTCCTGATCACCTCTGGAAGTGCATCAGCATTAAGTGTGTCCATGTACTGTACCTTTCAGTGAATTTATGGATGGATGTCACAAGCCATGACATCTAGTTTAATGTGTCTTTAAAGAGAGGACATACCATCTGTGCCCATTAGCAAGCCTGTCACTGATGCTCTGATGCTTTTATATGATTGGAAAAGCCTAATAACCAGTCATTAGCAGGGGTACCCAAAACCTAAAATTCTGGAGTGCAGCAATGTGTTTTTTTTCCTCAAAAGTGGTAATTTTACCACAAGTTACTTTACAAAAGCGAAGATTTATCTATTTGGTCACAATTATCATTGTCTCTGGGTCTGTTAGAGGTGATGGAGTGTGAAAATCTCATCCATCCTGCAGGGTTAAGCCCCCTGACAGACACACAGACTAATGGTTCCTTGATATAGCTGAGGCCACTCTTACAGGTCTTTGTAATTTGCTAACATGTCTGAAAGCTTGTTTTACCATTAAAATTCATCACTTGAACCTGTTGGAAATCCTGTTCATTGCAAGATGAGGTTTCCTTCTTGTTCCCATGTTCCCACTCTTGACTGCCATGTATTTAGTGTCGGTCAATGATAATAAGAGAAAGACAAGCTTTAAATTACAAAAACAAAATATCGGAGGTGACTGATAATCTCTGCTTGAAAAGATTTTTTGTCTAACTACATCTGCAGCACTTCCTTAGCATCTTGTCTGGAGTTATGGCCCTCTAAGTAATCTGAGAAGCATTAGTGCTGTGTAATCCACACGTTTGTTCAATAGTGGAAGACACATCTGTGTTTGACAATGCATGTTGGTTTGTTTTTCCTTTGTACGAAAGGCGTGAGGATTAGCCTATAAATAAGTCAGGGGAATCTCCAGGAAAAGCTAAACATCTGTTGTTCTGGTCTGCCATTTTCAGGAAATACATTTTAGCAAGGTTCCTCGTCAAGTCTGCAGACTATGACTGGCACAGTGGCACAGTGGCACACTCACTATGACTGACTAGCAAGGTGACACACTGACTATGACTAACTGACACAGGGGCACACTGACTATAACTGACTGGCATAGGGACACACCGACTATGACTAACTGACACAGGGGCACACTGCCTATAACTGACTGGCATAGGGACACACCGACTATGACT